TATTCCTGATTACTTCAGCAGGTATAGGATCCTGTTTATTTAATCACATAGCAATTGGTGCTTCTCTGTGGCACTTAATTTATTTTACCTTGTATTGCTGTCACTCCTACCGTGATGCAAAATCCTTGAGGTCAGGAGATGACCTTACTCGTCTTTGCATATATTTAATGATTAAGAGAATATCACGCATCCAGTGTGGACTCAATTAACATCTAGTGAACTTAATGAAATCATTATTTGAAGCCCTCCAAGGATTTCCAATGACCTATCACTTAAGGCTCTCAGAATCTGGTCTCAATTATCCAACTAATTTTATCTCCCATCATTGGCACTCTAAAGATTAATTCACTGGATGACTGAAAACAAATTCTTAGCTCCAAGGCTCCTTCTCCTGTCTGAAATGTGTCATACTTATTGGGGAATCTTGCTGAACCCCAACTCTGCCTCTAATCTTAAATGTTTTGTCCTACACGCCATTCAAACCACACCTACCTTTCATGGTCCAGCCCAAATTCCAGCACTTTCAAGGGTCAAATTGCTTCTAGCGTGTGTGTGTGTGTGTGTGTGTGTGTGTGTGTGTGTGTGTGTGCGCGCCTACTCACATTTCTTCTAGTATCCATACTATTTATTAACATTGTACAATATTATTTAACTGACTAGCAAATTATTTTTTGTTTCCAAAACTAGATTATAAATTTTTAAGATAGAATCATTGTCTTCTCGTCTTCATACTCCCTAAATTTCCAGTGCAGGTATAAACTCAATAAGGAGGAGTTGACTCATTCAACTTTCTAGAAAGCCTTTCTTCCCTGAACCCCCAAGCCTGGATGCAGTACTCTTTATTTGTGCTGTGCATGATCAAATAATTATAATATGTGGCAAAAATGAATGAACTACAGCTACATGCAACAACATGGAAGGCTCCTAAAGAGTAATATTAAGGGGGAAAAATGTCCCAGAAGACTGCGTGGAATACCATTTCTATAAAGCTCAAAAAACAAAAAGCAAAATCAGACACTTTATCACGTGGGCATACAAGCATACTTGACAATACTGTTTTAAAAAGCAAGGGAATTGGGACTTCCCTGGTGGCACAGTGGTTAAGACTCCATGCTCCCAATGTAGGGGGCCTGGGTTCGATCCCTGGCTGGGGAACTAGATCCCACATGCGTGCCGCAACTAAGACCCAGTGCAACCAAATAAATAAATAAATAAATAAATATTAAAAAAAAAAAAAAGCAAGGGAATGATAAACCAAATTCTGGATAGAGGTTAGCTCTGTGAGGAAGGCAGAAGCAAGCAAGTGGAATAAGGGGGGCACTTTTACAGATGGCATGGCTTTAGCAATATATGAATTCTCAAGTAGGATGTGAGTTCCTGGGTATTCATTTTATCATTATGCTTCATATCTCACACATTTGTCATATATTATTATAATAACAAATATACCGTTAAAACTAATGAAGGGGGAAAAGACAATCTTGGTGGTCAGGATTCATAACCACTAATCCTAAGGATCAAATTCTCTATCTTGTTTTATTATACCAGCTGGATGTTGGCAGTTCCTGGATTCATGTATATTCATCAAAACCAGAAGGATGTCAGAACCTACAAATGAATTTTGCCCTTTATGTGTCTTGTGATAAACAAAAGTTCATATATTAATATACATGAATATACCAACTTCTTTCATGGCTAGTAATTCTGAGAAATTATTTTCTATTCCAAAACCCTAAAGAAACTCTCCTATGTTTTCTTCTAGAAGTTTTAACATTTTTGTCTCCATGTTTAATCCATCCAGTGGTGTTTTTGTATATAGTGTGAGGAAGAGAGCCAATTTGTTTGTCCTTATGCATGACCAATTGATCCAGCAAACTTATTAAACAGTCACTCTTTTTTCAGTGGTATACAAGCTGCTTTTGAGATTAAATACTTCCTGATTTCTCAGGATTTAGACCCTCCTTGTATTTAGATTAAATTCCTGTTTCTTAATGCCTTATGTCACAGCACTGGATTCAGCCCTTTGCCTACTAAATCTACAGTTTTTTCAGATCCCTCTAGCATAAAGAAGCCCTTTCAGCAATCCTAGTTCCAGCAATAGTTAAAGTATGACAGTGTTTTGCTTTTCTAGATACAAAATAGTCACTTGTGCCTGAGCTGAGGTGAGGAAAGAAAACAGTTGTATCTTACACTGATAGCTTAGAGTTATGCGCTACCTGAGATAGCAGCTTTTGCTTTCCCATCCTCCCTAGTGTGACACCAACCATGCTGATATCTCAAATGTGTGACAGTGGACCCAGAGCAACCAAAATCTCAGCCCAGTTTCTAATCAATTTAGAAACTAAAATGAATTTTTAGGAGAATGGGAATCTCTGTGTCTCTAATGATTTTCATCTGCGTGGTTTAAATTCTTGATGAGTTGACCTAAGCCGAAGGAAGAACTAAGAAAGGACATTCGGCTATGCAGAATCCCAGGTGACAGCACGTTAAAAATCAACTGCAGAATGTCAAATGTTACAACCTAAACAGAAAGAACCCACTATTTGGAAATCTAGAGGTCTGGTGAGAATCAAGTCACTCACTTCATTTCCATAATGTCTTCACTTACAAAGAGTATACACACATCTTTCTAAGACTGATAGGAAATAAGATGCTAATAACTTTGCTCGGATCACGCTCATGTTATACTCTTCTGGAAGATGCCCTCATTCCCTCCACAACAGCACCAAGTGGGAGCTGAAGTTGCTCTCTACCCCCATCCTGATCCTACGTCCTTAGTCTCTCGATCCTTGAGACAGTTTATACTTATGCTGAGGTAGAAGGTACCACAGCCATGGTGCGAGGGATTCCCACTTGGTTTCACATCTCAGAGGAGTTCCCGCAATGGAATCCTGCTTTGCCTATGAAGTGCAGGAGAACATACTCAAAGGACAGGGAGAGCGTTACTCCTGCCAGGAGTCTCTAAAGTCAGACTAATTTGCAAGATAAGATTGAGTGCAGCACAATGGTCTTCCTAAAGCAATCACAAAAGTATAAACACTGCGCCTGGTGTTTACCTAGTTCTGAAATGAAGGCAGGAGATCTCACAGTGATTAATAAAGGGACTCAAACTATCTGAAGCAGTAACAGAATGAGTGGAATGCTTTAGCTGTTTGTTCTAACACGACGAGTTACACCGATTAACAGATTCTAACCCACTAGTTTGGTTTCCTGGGATATGAATTCCTACTGTAGCAGACTATAACTTGGGGACAATGGTGCAGCTTCCCCACTTACCTCAGCAGCCGCAGCTCTGCCAGCAGTGTGGGGTTCTGCTGGGCCTTCTCCGGGGTGGGCTGGGAAGCCTGCTCATGCTCTAGACGGAGACGCTGAATCTCCTGCAGGATCTCTCTAGAGAGATGGATGAAAAAGAGATGGCCACGTATGGCTTCACAGCTCGCTCCCTCTCTTTTTTACCATTAGAAGTTTTTATTCTAGTCGTGCTGCCTCTACCAATCTTGTTCTGATTGTTTCTGAATGACCAAGATGTGAAATGGACACCATCTTAAAATTGCTGCACTCGATATTTCCTCAATGAAACAATCCTTTGTGGTAGAAAAAGTCCTACAAACCCTCTTCTCAAGAACTTGAAAAATTTCCACAGAAGAAAAATGACAACTATCAATAGAAGAGTCTGCTCCTCTCTGGGAGGAACTTGCAACCTTCTAATGCAAGTCTTGTGCTAACTCCCCTCAAGTCTTCCTCTGTCTCCCTTCTTCTCCTGAACCCCACTCCCACCCCGAGATCTGATGGTTGCCACTTCCTCCACTGTGCCTGTTACATTATGACCAATCTCCTTGTCCTGGTTTCTGCTTTTTCAGTGCATGATGGTGTGTTGTCTGGTCGCCAACCCTGTAAATGGCTTTTCAGCGAGAGACCAGACAGTCGCGTGCTGCATCGTGGGCCAGGACAAGATGACAAGACAGAGCAAAGGCTCCTGGGAGTAGAGTGGAGAAAGGAATGGGAGGGGAACACACTGGTGGGTGAGAAAAAGAATCTACCTGAGAGCACCTGAGCAGGGTTTTGGACTACCAGAATGAACAGCATGCAGAGATACACAAATTAGTGTCCAGGGCATGTACTGGACTTGGGCTGGCCTATCTTTACTGAGGTGGGATCTTCCTTTGTGGTCAAAACCCACCTAGACTGCAAGGAAAATGAGAACCAGATACTCACGTGATAATCTTGGGCTTCAGAAACTGGCTCGACCTCAGCATTCTTACCTGTTTTTGTTTTCCAGTTCTGCAATAAGCTGTCTTTGTTGTTTGTTGGCATCAAAGTTAAAGCTCAAGTCGGTGGGAGGACGGGTCTAGAGTGAGGAAGAAGAAAGTTTTTTTTTTTTTTATTCAAATATATCCAGAGGCCCAGATGGACTGTTGACTTTTTTTAAAACAGATTTTTGAGGTATAATTTACATACCATAAAATCCACCCGTTTTAAGTGTACAATTCAATGAGCCTTCGTATATTTAAACAGTTTTGCAAACCAATCACCACAGTCCAGTTTTAGAACATCTTTCATCACCACAGAAAGTTCCCTCATGCCAGTTTGTAGTCAACTTCCACTCCCATCCCCAACCACAGGCAACCAGTGATCTGCTTTCTGTCCACAGTTTTGCCTTTTCTAGAAACTTCATATAAATGGAATCATACAACATGCAGTCTTTGGTTTCTGGCTTCCACTTAGCATGGTATTTCTGAGGTTCATCCATGTTGCTCCATGCATGAGGAGTTCCTTCCTTTTTATTGCTGAATAGTATTCCACTGTTTCCAGCTTTTGGTTATCACAAATGAAGCCGCTCTGAACTCTCATTTACAACTCTTTGTGTTGATGTATGTTTTCATCTGTCTTGGGTAAATCCCTAAGAGTGGAATTCTAGAGTTATATGGTTAACTCTGTATTTAACATTTTGAGAAAGTGTCAAACTGTTTTCCAAAGTGGCTGAACCATTTTACAGTCCCACCAACAATGAATGAGGGTTCCAATTCCTCCACATTCTCACCAATACTTGTCATTGTCTTTTTGGTTTTAACCATCCTAGTGGGCGTGAAGTACCTAATTGTGGGTTTTTTAAAAATTGAGATAAAATTTACATGCCTTAAAACCTACCCTTTTAAAGTATATAATTCAGTGGTTTTAAACTATATTTATGAGGTTGTGAGCCCATCATCACTATCTACTTCCAGGACATTTTCATCACCCTGCAAAGAAACGCACAGTCACTCCCCATTTCCCCTCCACCATCTTGTGACAACTTATCTAATTTCTTAATCTCTGGTTGGCCTATTCTGGACAGCTCATACCAATGGAATCATGCAGTATGTGATCTTTCATGTATGGCTTCTTTGACTTGGCAAACGATTCCAAGGTTCATCCACGTTGTAGCATGTATCACTACCTCATTTCTTTTTATGGATGAATAATATTCTACCTTATGGATATATCATATTTTGTTCATCCATTCAACAGCTGAGGGACATTTGGGTTCCCATTTTGGTGGGCTATTTTGCATAATGCTGCTGTGTGCATTTGCGGACAAGTTTCTGTGTAGAGACATGCTTTCATTTTTCTTGGGTATATATCTAAGAGTGGAACTGCTGGGTCATATAGTAACTGCCTTTTGGGCAACTGCTAAACTGTTTTCCTACATGGCTGTAGCAGTTTACATTCCCACTAGCAATATATGAGGGGTCCATTTTTTCCACTTTCTTGCCAACAGTTGTTATAGCCCATTTTTTTGATCACAGTAATCCTAGTGAGTATAAAATGGTATCCTGTGATTTTGATTTGTATTCCCCTAATGACTAATATGTTGAGCATATTTTCATGTGCTTATTGGCCATCTATATGTCCTCTTTGGAGGAGTCATTATGGTTTTGATTTGCATATTCACTACTGGGTCTGACCCTTGTACCTCCTTTAAGAATATGGAAGCCGGGCTTCCCTGGTGGCGCAGTGGTTGAGAGTCCGCCTGCTGATGCAGGGGACATGGGTTTGTGCCCCGGTCCGGGAAGATCCCACATGCCGCGGAGCGGCTGGGCCCCTGAGCCATGGCTGCTGAGCCTGCGCGTCCGGAGAGGCCACAACAGTGAGAGGCCCGCGTAACGAAAAAAAAAAAAAAAAAAAGGAAGGAAAACCAGAAATAGGGAAGGAGACCCTCCTGGGGCTGTTTTTTAACTTCACTCTTTAATGCCCTGTTGTTATTATATTCAGACTCAGCTGTCAACATGTGAGTGCGCAGCACAAAAGCAGCTTTAACTTGATGACTTTTTTCCTCCAAGGCCATGAAAATGAAATGGATACTATACTCTCCTTTATGTTATTCCATCTTCTAATGAGATTTTCTTTCTCATGGACAGTGAAAGCCTGTATGTCCTTTAGAGTTCTTAGTAGATCAAAGTCTCATTCTTGCTGAACAAAAAAACAAACATTTTCCCCTTCTACATAAATATTTCCGTTTGAGAGTAGACCAGATTGAAAGAGGTTTTTTCCTACTAATTTTGAGTCCATACAAAGCCTAGGTTTAATAATTAACAGTGGATATTCCAAAACTGTCCTCTGGGATTTTAGAGTTTGGGTCTTCAACGGCTTTACACAGCCTTACCGTGATCTCAGCTCAGCATTTTTCTTTTCCTTAGTGAGGCTTCTAATTTCTCAGATGGTCACCTGGGCACCATTCTACCTCCTCTACCCCCAGAGATGGGTATTTGACTATATGTCCAGCCCCTTTTGATTACCACAGTGTTTGTACTCAATCATGAATTATTTTAGGCATCATCTGCATTTAAAGAACAGCAACTGGGAAGTAATGTCAAACTTATGAGCAAATTGGAGAGCAGGAAATGCAGGAAACTGAGAGAACAGACCCTTTTAAAGAGAAAGGGCCAGTTAAGTGACAAATACCACAGGAGAGGTTGTCTAAATGGAGACTGAAAAAAAAAAAAAAAAAAAGGAAGCCAATCAACACAAAATAGGAAAATGGATGACTAGGTGACATTTCCCTTTTATTGATTAACCAGGGTGGAAGCTCTTAATGAGGGCTCTGGTATAGTTACACTTCACTCCAGGTATTCTTGGTTCTTCCCAAAACATGATCTACGATGAAGCAGAAACCTTGTTTCCTGTCTAGAGTTTAAAGATGCAATAAGTAATTCTTTTCATGTGAAATTTCCTAAAAAACAGGGGCAAAATAGCATAGCGAATCTGGGTGGGAGCCTTTTATCAAATTACCAAGTAATTTCCTTCTTTAAAAGGAAAAAACCTGATCTTTCTTCCTCCAGAGAAGAGCAGACCAGCAGTCAACTGAGCAAGTTCTCTATATATTCTGTTCAGTCTTGTGAGAGCCTGTGTTGAACCTCAGAAAAATGGCTTGCCTCAGAGTAAAACTGCTATGAATAATAGGTTTTCAATTCCTGAAGACTAGAGTTAAAACTAACGGCTCCTTATGAGAGTGGGACCAGGGAAAATTATGGATGAGGAAATGAGCTCTGAAAGGAATTTGTTTCATATAATGACAAAAACCAAAAAACCCTACAGTATTTCACTGGAAATTTCTAAAGAATCCTTTTAGTTTTGAGTGTCTGACTGCAATGCTGAAGCATCTTTCAAAGAGGAAGTTAACATAGGAATCAAGAATTATTATCAATAGTGATTCCTAACCAGGAAAGATTCTTTGGCACCAAGAAGCACTGTTACTCAAATATAAAGAAGTAGGGGCGGAAAAAGATTCAAACCCTTAGTCAGCAGTCCCACCTGGAGCAGCCTGCACCCTAGCTCCTCCACCTGGATGTAACAGCAGGGAGCCCCCAGTGGACAGTTGAATGATGGCTTATTTCACCCAGACAAATGTCAAACACAGTTGAGTGTACACTAAATAACAGAGAAATGTAGGATTTTATTTATTGACTATCTTAGACATCACAGTACTCCTTTAAAAAAAAAAAAAAAAGCCAGGTATCCCTTCCTAAAATGCCCCCAGGACACTGAAGGGAAAAAGAGGGAACAGTTAGTTTATAAAGACATAGATTACTTTAGCCAGAAGACCCCTAAAGATGATTTATTTCAAAAATTAGATAGTTCAATCATTCATTTATCCAGCAAATATTTCCTGAGCACTTAGTATGTGTTAGATACTATTCCAGAAACTAGGGATGCATTAGTGAATAAAATACAGCCTCTACCCTCATGTAGCTTACATTACATTGGGAGAGAATGATAAATAAATGTAGGTGATATACATTTATGGCATCAGTAGTGATCAATAAATAAATAAATGTAGGTGATATATATTTATGGCATCAGTAGTGATCAATTTGATGAAGAAATATAGGGTTATGACACAGAATAAACTGAGAAGATTTTTTAAATGAGATAGTTATGAAAGACTCAATGAACTTAGGAAGCAAACCAGGTGAAGGTCTGGGGGTTGGGAGGGTCGGGCTTGCTGGGCAGAAAGAAGGGCAAAGGCCTACAAGTGCTCCAGGTTGGTGTGTTCTGGTCAGTACTGATGGAGTGGCGCGAGCTATGAGGCAGGGATAGGTGATAAACTGGGAGGGCCCAGATGATGAAGGACCTTTTCATCATGCAGTGGAGTTTCCATTCCATTCCAAATGTGGTGTGAAGCCACTGTAGGATTCTGAACAGGGAAACATGGAATCAGTTCCAAATAACATATGTACATACTCTGCCCGCAAGGAGGTGGAGCCTAACTCCCTGTTCCTTAAGCGTGGCCTGTCCATAGTGATTTCCTTCCAAAGAGGACAGTGTGGAAAGGGGACAAAAGAGTAACTTTATGTCGGAGAAACCTGACAAAAGCTTCCTCAGCCAAGTGATCAAGGTCAACATCAACAGTGATAAGTTACATTGATACTATATATGTATGATGTGATGTGAGGAAAATAGCACTTATCTCTTCCTCCCCCAAACCCATAATCCCAGTCTAATCATGAGAAAACCAGACAAATCCCCATTAAAGGACATTCCTCAAAACTGTCAAGGTCATCAAAAACAAGGAAAGTCAGTAATAAGCTATAATGGAAAATAATCCTATATATCATACAGGATCATCATATATATTATCATATAGGATATAACTATATATATAGTTGAATCACTTTGCTGTACACCTGAAACTAACACAATATTGTAAATCAACTATGTTTCAATAAATAAAAAATAAACCAAAAAAAACAAGGAAAGTCAGAGAAGCTGTCACAGACCAGAGGAGTCTAAGGAGATATGACAATTAAATGTAATGTGGTATCTCGGGTGGAACCCCAAAACAGAGAACAGACATTAGGTAAAAACTAA